TACCCTGTGGCAAGTGTGCAGAATCACAGCTGAACACAGTCAGTACAACACAAAGAGCCCCGCTGACGGAACAGAGCAGAGCCCCAGGCCAAACCTCAGACTCTAGCCAGATGTGGTGGCCATGTAAAGCAGGGCCTGATGCCAGACTATATTACCTAATTGGACGCATTGCCTGGATTTTAATAGGTAGCCATCAGCCAAGGAAGTGAGCACAATGGCCTATTGTTTTCACAAGCCGGTCAGAATTTGTTTTCCTCTGAATGAAGGATCACACCCCATCCCTAATGCTTTGCAGAACATTCTAGAAGTAACACCAAGTGCAGCGAGTGGTACCGTTGGGGAAACTGTCTGCCTAGCGACGCAGTTGGAGCTGGAGCCTCCTACTGGTGAGCAGCCATGCAGCGGCCAGGGGGACATGTTCTACCTCCCAGGCTCCTAAAAGCACAGGAAACCGCCGCAGCCATACACTGAGCAAGAGTGCAGTAACTCTGCATCCCAAGAGCACAATAAAGGAACAGAGACAGAACCTCTTCCTCTTGGACAATGAACTGGGACACAGTATGGCGCAGCCCGGAGTCGACCCGTGAGGAATCTGCGCTCGCTCCTTTTCGCCCCTCTGTAGATTTCACTACAGTATGTGGCTCCTGGAGTTTTGGGGTTTACAGACTGTGGCGCCCCGAACACGAAGGGGTGCTTCTCACCCTGCCCAGCCCGTCACACAGCTTCTCGCTCTCCTTCAGTTTCTTCGCTCGGGGAAAGGCCCGAAGACGTTGCTGGAGGAGCTGCAGGGCCTGACAGGGGGGACACACGGCCCTTTGTGCCTGCAGGTGCGCCAGGTGTCTTTAACGCGCTGACGAAGCCAGCAACTGACGGAGCTCGTTAAGGGAGGAGGTAGAAGGGGAACCCCTCGACACCCCAGCCCCTCCAGGTCCAGGACTGCCTGCCCGGCCTCAGACCCTGGAGTTCGGTCAGCAGGCGGGGGAACGGCAGCCGGTGTAAATGAAGTTCACTGCACACAGGGCTGGCGGAGGAGGAAACGGGTTTTTAATTAAGACATTACAGACAAAAGCTCAGACACCAGCTCTGCACATCCGTCCGCCTCGCCGGAAAGCCTGCGCGGACTACGCTCCTTAACATTCCTCCAGAGCCTGTAAGAGACTTCAAAAACAGGGACCACTGCGCAACACTGACAGAACTCCAACAGCGGCTCACTGACTATGCGCACACCCGCCTTTCTTCGGGACCTCTGCTGCCCACCCCAGAAGACGGAACATGTCATCTCTGGAAACCTGTCCGGGTGAGCGAGGAGGCCAGACGCCTCTGCTTTAAACATCGGGTTTGTCGAGGCCATGCGTCTTTCAACACAGATACAGAGCACAACCCCAGAGTGCCGCCTGGGGAAGGGAGAGAGCCCCTTTCTGCCCGATTCAAACCCCGAGATCTCTCGGCCTGTCAAGGCTCTGAAGGTGCCTGCGCCTCCCCGGTGGCCTAATTTATAGCGCGCTGACTTGTGCCCGCCCGTCAGGGACGGGGGGGGCTCACAATCCGCGCCCCAGTTCACGGATCCCAGCCTAGGACGCCCAGCCCACTCGCCTGACTTTTACGACTCGCACTGCTCGGCCTTCAAGAGCCTTTTCCCTGCTTCCTCCTGCAAACAAGGCTGCCTCCCACACGCACAATCAATCTCACGGCGACAGGCCGCAGAATCGGAAGGAGGAACCGGCAGAATTTAAAGCCAAAGGAGGGGAAGAGGGGGTGAGAGGCCATCGTGCTCGGCGGCGGGGGGGGTCAGGGGGACGGGATTCGGAATTGAACCTGTGGAATGTTTTTTTTTCCCCCCTCTCCCTCTGTGTGCTTAACCATCGCATTGTCACTCGTTGATTTAATTCATCCATGCAGCCACCTTCTAGCCACTTCTTCCAGTTCAGGGTTCAGGGGGAGCCGGAGCCTATCCCAGCAAGCAAAGGGCACAAGGTGGGGTACCCCCAGGACAGGACGCCGGTCCGTCACAGGGCACACACAGACACAGACCCCCTCACACTCCCACCAGGGCCATGAGGCCCACTACCCAATCAACGCACCAGCCTGTCTTTGCCCTGTGGCGCGAAACCAGAAACAAGAGGAAACCCACACGAACCTGGGGAGAACGTGCAGACTCCACACAGACAGCACCCCGGACCTGGACCCGGTCGGAGGCGGCGGAGGCACCGGGCACAGCGCTCCTCTCCTGCTCAGGAAGGCGTTAGAAAACCAGGAGAGAACCAAGAGCCGACCACCGAGACCGAGCCCCCCCCAAGGGAAAAAAAAAGAAACAAAAACAGAAAATCCCCACGACGCCACGCAACGCACTGCACCAGTATCAACAGCACCGGCGGACACGACGGCAGAGGCTCCTGGGAGGCGCTCTAGCCCCCTGGGAAGGCGTGTGTCGCTCCGTGTCGAGCGGCGTGCTCGCTCACGCCCGGCACCCACGCCGAGCATTTTGGCGCACAAGTGGAAGTCAGCCTGCGAGTCTGAGTTCACGCAAAACTCTAGTCGCTCAGCGACGTCTTTTGACTCGGCAACGTGTGGTCTCTCTTAACAGGCGAGTATTGGGTTGGGTTTAGGATTGAAAAGCCGCAAAGTCTTATGAGACACTGGAGTGGAGCTGTCTAAAGGCACAGTCCTTTTGCCCGTAGTTTATACTGTATGCGGCAGTATAAAACACCGGCTTGCCCGGGCACTCATGAACCCGGGCCCGGGTGTAGGCACCTGTCAGAGTGGCCAGGTGTGATCCCGGAGAGTCACAATCCTGCTGGCTCAGTGGCTCAGTTTCTCAGCCTCAGGAACAGCGCCTCTCGGGAGCGGCACCACAGCAGGCGACAGGCACGACAGGAAAGTCTCGGCACCCTCTCTCTCTCAATTCAAGGTGCTTTATTAGCATGACCGATGGGTACAATCAGTGTTGCCAAAGCAAATGAAAGTAATGATATTTACATTAAACAAAACAAAAAATAAAAGTAAAATAAAATCTACAGACATATTACAGACATTTCTCTCTCTCAAGAACCACATCTTGCCGCTCCCGGCTTCACTGAGCCCATCAGCGAGTGAATTCGTCAGAGCCCTGTGTTCCAAATCCTTACAAATTGCCGATTTAAGTCGGGAATGCAGACTTCCCCGTTTATTCCCAGCGCACGTCGCTCACCCCGCTGCGAGAGAGAGAGAGAGAGCGAGCGAATGTCTTTGCTGTATCCAAACGTACGGTACAGTACTGCCGGACCGCGGCTCGGCAGGAGCAGGGCGGTAAACCCAGCGAAAAGAGCGATTTGCCCGACAGCCCGCAGCTGCTAAACCACCAGGGGCTGTTGAACACCGGCGCGCTCTGGGTAGAAACCGCCGGTCAGCACATCTGGATAAAGAAATGACACTTTGCGTTAACACCGAGTTCTAAGCGGCCATTAATGACGCTGTTGATTTATAGCACTAATCTATATACCTTGGAACGTGGACACTACAAATTACAAGTTCATTTTTATTGACCTTTGACCGAATTATCTCAATCTTGACGAGCCGGGGATTAATCTTAGTTGTGCGCGGGATATGCTGGGCGTCGCGGGACCTTGTAACATTAGACAGCTTTCTATACCCCCCCAACATCAAAAATTCCCATATTTCGAAAACGCCAGCTGTGCGTCTACAGTACGTCTTTCGAAACAGCCAGCTGCTGGGCTGCTGGTCGGCCGAGACCTGAGCTCTTGAGCGGTTTGTCGGAGAGATACAGGCCGTCGTGTACGGTGCGTCCGGGCAGCGCGTCACTTAGGGACGGAACAGCAGAGCTCTGGGCCGCGAGTCGAACCCGCAACCCTCGGCAGAGCCGTGGCCGTCACTCCGCACAAATCAGTCTGCCTCCCTCCACGGCAAACCCGGTCCCCAAAACCCCGCGTGCGTGAGGGGCTTTGACTCGGCACAGCCTCGTTCTCCACGAGTTAAAATAAAAAAAAAAATCGAATAAAATGGGGTTTTCGCCAGTACAGGTTCTGCGGGTTTGAAACGCGAAGCGCTGAAGTTTCAATGGACACCGAGGAAGACACGAACTTGCGTCTTAATTAATTAAACAGCAGCGCGCCGGCGGTGAGGGCGCAGAAGCGCGTTACATCACAGTAATTGAATTAGGGACCGGGCAAGCGAGGCGGCTCCGCGGAGGAGCGATTCGCTCGCTTGTCGTGCGCTCTGGCCACCTGACACTTTCACAGACAAAATAAAAAAAAGGAAAACGGGAAACCGAGTCTCAGTTTATTCGCCGAACAGCAGCTCCCAAGTCTTCACCTTCCGAAATTTTAAGATCTTCCCCTGCGCCCTTCGCTGAGCCCGCGGTGACCCAGACCGTTTCTAAGAAATATTCCCCCCCAAATATTTGGGTTTTATAAATGAAAAACGAAGTAAAAGTGATTTTGTTTTCTTCCTAAGAAAAATAAACGTTTCTGGGTTGTTGTTTTTTTTTTAGTTTAGCTGAGTGTTTGGATTTGGCGGCGGAAAAAAAGGTTTTGTGAAGATCTGCATCTGCGCCAAAGGTGCATGTTAGGTTGTGAAGAATCTGTGACCCGCGGTTCCAGTTAAAACATCGCACGCCCAAGTTAACTGAACTGCGAGTTAAACTGGAGATTGGCAGAGGGTGTACCCTAAACTCGCTCACCCAGCGGACGTCTTAATAAAATAAGTGTTATTCTTTAAAGGTGACGACTGAAGGGTAGCACTCGCCTCAACCTGACGGTCTTCAGAATATACTGTCAAAAAATAGCTCGGCAGCACTCAATTCTGTTTTCAATACTCCAACACACCCTGCGGATATCATAGCTGTTATCATTGAACGATATTCAATGTACATAACAGTCAGACTCAGTCCCTCACTAAAATCCTCAGAACCCGAATTAGCAGCAAACGGACAGCAATGTACCCAGCAAAACCGCAACGACAGAGGAGGTCGTTGCCCACCGTAAGTAAATGAATGAATTCATTACCCTTGTAAGACAGGCGCAGTCGGGGCACATTCACTTTGGACGCGTCCGCCCAGAGAAGGTGGAGAACCGCCAGCAGAACCGCTGGGAGATTCTGGGACACGGCTGTAAATTCCTTCATGATTTCTTTTGGAAATGAGGGTACTTCTCTTCTGGCGTCGCGTCACGACACGGCGCCTGGGTGCTGGATCTCCTCGGTTCTGCTGTCTGTGTTGCCGAGTGGGAATCTTTCTCTCTCTCTCTCCTTCTAAGTGAGCGGTGTTTCGGCTGTGTGGGCTCAGCGAGAGGAGAGGTCCCCCGGTGTCCCCTGAAGCCGGGCGCAGCTCTCGGGCAAGCCTCGCCTGAAATTTCCCCGCAGACGCTCAACGCCGGTGCTTCTCCTCCCTCGCCAGCAAAGTCTCGACTTTGTGGATCTCTCCCCCGTTCGTGTGTTTTTTTTTTTTTTAGTCGGAGCCTGAGAAAGACCCACCCCGCATCTCTTAGCGAAGAGCAAAAAAAAAAAAACACTGAGGAAACTAACTGCTGAGACCCGCCTCCAATAGCGAGTTCAAAATACTTCAGCCTGGGTACCAGCGTGAAAGCGCAGCTTCGCTTAGCGCCCCACCCTCTCCAGAGCAGCGGTGCCTTGCGCCTTTCGGAAGCATCAGGTGTCCCAGCCCGCTGTCACCTCGCCTCCGTGCGGGCTGAGCTTTCCAGTGACCCGCTTTGACCCCCGCAGACCCCGTTTCTTAAGTGAGCACAGCCCCAGCGCAAGCTTGAACTAACGTCATTATCCCGGGGGGGGAGGCCAGCTCCCAGGTGTCGCGGTGAACTCCCAGACTCCCAGGGGGTGTCAGAAAGGGTTACTTTTAATGAAAGCGTCCTTTGTGCGACACGCCTTTACAAGAGATGGTCGCAGGTTGTTTTTTATAAAACGATCTTTTGTTGTTTTTTTTCTCGTTCGGAAATTCAAAAGGGAGCCGCAGCTCATTTAGACCGCAAATTGGACACAAGACGGAGTCCATAAAACCGAATGGACGCAGTCGCATTCCTGGGCTGTCTGAATCATGGCAACACCAGCCCGTTTGAAAAGACCATGTTGCAACTCTTACGGTTCTTTTGAAGTCCTGCTTAATCGCCCTCGTTAATTGCCCTCAATTTCTCATTCCTCCCCGAGCGCGGGCTCAGCTGGGATCTAATCTTGCAGGGTCAGAAACCCGCGCGGAGGAGGAACACGCCGACCTTACACTCGGGATTACCCAGTGGGCAAACCCAACACTTTTCGGAAAGTGTTGTTTAAAGGAACAGAGGCAGAGAAGGAAGTGCATCACAATCCTCTCTGAGCCACCAGCCCCGCTGTCTGACTCCACTGCCAGCCTGCCCTTGTGCTGGGTTTGTGTGAGCTCTGCTGAAATAGCACCTACACCCAGACAGTATTTCACAGAGCAGGCATTTTTGAAACACAGTTCTGGGAGCCAGAGGCTGCAATAATGTCTGTTCTACAGCAGGGAGCTCCCCGTCTTGGTCCAGAGAGCAGAGCTTAATTACCCACTTGAAGCTTTAATTGGGCTAATTAGAAAGGCTTGATCGGAATAGCCACGAGATTTTCTAAAATTTTCCGATCCAAAGTTTGGGATTGTTAAATTTAGCTTTCAAATTTCAAAACTCAACTTCCACCGTGGTTAAGAGCCGAGCACAGCGAAACACTTCTCATGACTCCTGTTACTGGGTCAGTTTAAGGTTCGCTTGTTTCACAACAGAACCCAGCAGGTGCGTGTGTGTGTGTGTGTGTGTGTGTGTGTGTGTGTGTGGGGGGGGGTTCGGTCCCATCCGGTCCGGTTCGCGGCTATGCTGCAGTGAGTCCGGATGAAACATGGAGGCAGGCCGTCGTGCCCGGAGCAGGGGTCAAGGTTCATTGTGGGCTGAGTGGGCTACAAGCCCTACGCCCCTGTGCAATGCCGTGCACATGAAGGACACAACAAGGTCAACAAACGAGAGGACAGCTGCGCACATCTGCCCCGTTCGGCAAGTTAGTCGCTAATTGATCCCAGAATCTCATCGGGCTGTTTCTGGAAAGAATCCAGGGTGCCGTCTTCAACGTCTTGTTCCACACCCCTACCGCCCTTTGGGTAAAGAAGTGCCTCAAGTTGTGATTGCCCTGTACTTGTTTTTCACCTGAACAGGAGAGCTAGGCCTATCTGTTGTGGGGATTGAAAGAATCCTGAGCCTTAGCTCCAGCACCATGGCTGGGTTCCAGACTCCCACGACCGGTTAAAGAAGTGCCTCTTGTTGTCTTTTTTCCCCAAGAGGTTCAGGTGTTCAGGTGCCGTGCGCCTGAACAGGAAACTAGGATTACTGTGACGTGCTGTGACACGATTTTCATCCCGCGCCACCTCTCCTTCGTTTCCCTAATGAGGAGGACGAGTGGCCGCACGAGTGCAGAGCCAATCCAGTGGGCTATTTGACTTTCAAATGCAATCAGGCCCGGACGCCTTGCGGCCCCAGCGCGGAGCGCGGGGAGGGATGCGGTCGGCAGGCAGCCGCTGGGCTGCGGGGGTGATAAATCTCCCCGCTGCGTGCCCGTGTCACAGCGCTGGTCAGGGCTGTTAGAGCCCAGGCGTGACTGATGTTACTGCAGCTGGAATCTCTCCAGGGGGCGTGCTCGGGGATTCGGTTTCTCTTCCTGCCCTCAGCCTCAGCCTTCAGCTTTTGTTTTGTTTTTTTTGTTTTTAAAAAGGCCAGGCCAAGGGAAAGTAAAAACTAAAATAATGAAGTTGTGAAGAAGAGCCTGCGGCCGGGGGACAGCAGAGAGCATTCCTGTCCAGGCCGACACACTCCAGCAGCAAGCAGCTGGCCTGCTTCCAGGACGCTAACAGATCTGTCTGCGCAGGTGTCAGGTGGAGGACAGGGCAGGCTGTCTCCTGGGAGCACACAGCGGACAGTGTGGCGTTGGCGGCACCTTTGGTGGCTGTAAGCCTGTGTGCTCCCGGTACGCACACAGCCGGTGCTTCTGACTGTGTTTGTCTGGGGTCTGTCTGCATCTGGCACAGGAACACAGAGCTGCAGCATTACCACTTCATCCTACAGTCTACCTGTCCGTCTAGCTGACCTACCTGTCCTCCTATCTAAACTGTTTGTCCTTCTATCTAAACTACCTGTCTGTCCTTCTATCTAAACTATCTGTCTGTCCTTTTAGCTAAACTACCTGTCTGTCTGTCTAGCCAACATCTCTTTCAGTTTCTATTTGCCTGTCTATCACAGAACTACTTAATATTCATTCTGCTAATTCCTAGCAAACCTTCCACGGGCAGGAGAGCAGTTACCGGACCTGAACTCGAGGCGGTGAACCCGTTCAAACTCCTCACGTCCCGCTCTCTTGAGCCCGAATGTCAGTCCGGCACACAAGCACCAACACCACATGGGCACTCGTGTCTTATTTTTGAGAGGAACAGGGTATGGTGCTCTCCCCATGTGTTGTACAGTACAAGATCAGACCTACGGCCCTAATTCTAAGGCGGACGTAAGTAAGGTCTTACTCGTTTCTCTTGCTTGTTTCAGAACGCCGCTCTCTGGAACAGATGCAGCACCTCGACTCCCTGGAGGCCAGCAGGATGCAGCCCAGCCAGTTTAACGTCACTTCAGCCTGGACAGCAGCATGAGAGCGCAGCTCCGCTTAATGCCCCACCTTCCACACGCTGCAGGAACACGAGGTATCCCAGCCCCGCCCCTGACTTCCACCCCACCCTGGGCCGTCTAAAGCACGGAAATTAGGGACAGCCACCAAACAGGGAGGTCCAGCTTTTAAAGCTGCTCGTTAATACAGAAATCACAGAAAAAAAGTGTCCTTTAAAAGAAAAGCCCTGAGAGTAAAAATGTGGGGGCTTCCCCTGCAGCCCTGACCCCTGACCCCTGACCCCAACCCGGAAACAAACCAAACACTCAGCAGAGTTCCCTTTGAAGATGATGCTACATCGGGCAGTCGTCCTGGCTCCATCACCCAGCAGCCAACGGTATCCCACAAGCCCTTCTGCCTTCTTCGTCTGGAACGCACCAGATTACGAGGGGAACCGAGTCAAGTCAGATTATAAATCTTCGGAATGACCAGTAGTGACGCGCCAACCAGAGAACACAGCTGCAAGCCGCGGGGAAGCGCACCTCTTTACACTAAGGGTTGTGGGAGCGTGGAACAAGCTACGCCTCCTGTGCCCAGCTTATCATGTGCTGCTCCTCAGCAAACTCCACCACAAAAGTTCTTTTCATAACTCCAAGATTCTGATCAAAATTCTTCAGGGTGCTTTTTCCCCTCCATAAAATAAATCTCCTCAGGGTGCCATTTTTAGATCTTGTTTTTTTTATCTTCACATCTGGCCCAGTGCAGTCTAACCCATCCCTGCCCCCACCCTCCCTTCCCATCTCCCCATCCCTGCCGGATCACAATCCCTTACCGCAGAGCAGTGGCCAAGGGCCGGAAGACCTCCAGAGGCCTCCTCCCGGATCCTCCGTCTGCCAGGAGCCTGTGAAAGGTTCGCCTGAGCGGAGTCGTTCCTGGAAGCTCTGCCTTTTCGGCCACCCGACTCACCCCGGAGTCATCGCCGCTCCGGGCGACCTTCAACGCTGTGGATAAGAGCAATCATCCCAAGAGCCGGCGTGGAGCCTGTGTGTCGCCCTCCCTCCTCCTAGCTTGGCTGCCTCACCAGTGTCCCTACCCGCCCAGCGTGTCCTGGTGGCACGCCGAGGGAGGGCAGCAGGAGCAGCGGTAGGAGGATACCGAGCTGGCAGCTGTTGGCATCCGGAGAGGGGAAAGTGAGGCTGTGCAGCAACGCGCCAGGCTCGACGAGGTCATGACCCCGGCGCAACAGAAAACAACGTCACAGCAGAGGCGGCTTTGACCGTGACCTTTGACCCCCGCGCTCCATATGTATTTGTTTATTCGTCCGGGCGGGCGGTCATTAATCAGGGTGCTGACAAAGGAAGGGGACCTCCTGCGTGCCGTGTCGGCCCCAGGTCAGGACGCCCACTTTGGAGCAGAAGGCTCTGGGGCAAGGGGGAGTGGGCACTGTAACTCCCATCACGTCTAACGACAGGCAGAGCAAGGCCCCGACGCTTTCATTCAAAATGTCGAAAATGCTTCCAAATTCAATCGGCGGGGGGGAAGTACCCATGGAGGCCCTGAGCAGGCCTTATCTTCAGCCCAGCTGGACAGGCCCCCAACAAACCAGCTGATTTCCTCCAGCAGCTCTGACTGCTGCAAGCACCAGACTGCAGCTGCCGAGCTCCTGTGTTCAAGAGGCTCAGATACCCAGCGCCGGAAATCACGCAACCAAGCTCTCCTGCCCCTCGTCCCTCTTCCCTGCTCGCCATAGAGCCACCTGGGATACACTGATTGGCTCAGCTGAATGCCAGGAGTCTGATAGCAGGTCTGGGATTAATTGTGAGCCCAGATCTTACAGTTAGTACATGACGCAGGCGATGAATTTCCTGACTCAATGAGAGCATTGTTACTGTACATAGATCGGTTCATATTCCGAAACTCAAAGCAGACGGCGAGAGCCCCGATTCTCAGTGTGAGTGAACCCCTCCGTGTCGGGTGACAGCGATGCCAGATCACACAGACACAGAGCCCCCGCAGACACACGCTGCTCTACAAGACTGCCTCCACGATACCGTGTTCCCGCATGGAGCTTTCCGGGCCATTCTGCGTACATCCTAGAGCTTTCTCCAGGGGGACCCAGCAGCAGGGTGCTCAGCCCAGATCACCCCAGCCTCTCTGGCACGCCCTGAGACCCTGAAGCCTCCTACTGGATAACAACAGCAGTGTAGACCTATGAGGGATCACCTGCGAAGAAGATAAAACCCACT